TTTGCTGAATAACAAAACAAAACGTTGCAAAATAACTCTAACCCAAAACTCTACGAACTTATGTTACAACCCAATAGATTAAGCAGTAAAGTGCTCTTTACTACTCTGGGAGGGCGGTAGAGTGATTAACTCATAAAATATAGACACAGAAGCCCTATCGTGGTTGGTTTTGTTCAGGTATCTAATCTATCATGATCATATTTCAAAGGGCAACAATCCGGATCAGCTTTCCAATCAGCTGAGATCGTCAGACCGATCAATCTTATTTAGCCCAGTGAATTAATGCCCTGTACGTTGAGATAAAGGAGCCTCGTCCAGATAGTCATCATCTGTTGTAGCAATCTATTCAGCTATTAATAAAGAAACTCCACTCCCTACATGCTAAAGTGCAACCAACCATCACACAACCACACCCAAGGTCCAGAGGTCGGATTTCAGTTAAGGCCCACTCCAACCAAGCGTTGCATCTCCCTGGATCGACTGATTATAATGTAATTGTTTGGGAGGATAAAAGCACTGAGATTTTTCACCGCAAATGCATAGGCCACATACCGATTCAAAGGTCACTACGATTCTGAATCGAAGTCAAGTCCGGGGCGCAGCTCAAACGGTCGTTGCAAATCGTCTACTCAGACAAAATCATCTGTACATATTTGAGTGTTTGACTCAAGTTTGAGATCATCTTCACTGAATTCCGTTTTATTGCTATCAATCCTACTGTTGTTATGTAGATGGGGTTCTCAGTAAGCGAAAGCTACCTGTGCGTCTCTACCGGCATCATACCTATTAAACGTTCTCAGCAATCAGCTAACATCACCCGATTGAGTCGTTCATATCATCAGAAAATCCTTGACAAACCGGTTGGGCTCACTTGATACAACGGTTACGATCATTTCGCTGTAGTATTGAAATGTCGGCAACATGTTCTTCCATAGGGTCTCTCAAAGTCACTGAACAGGTCTCTTCCCTACCTTTCGGGCATTGTATCGCCTAGTGATTCCGTACAATACAGCCACTGCAAAGTTTCTTTACTCTTTGCGATGGTTGAACCGGTAAATTGATTTCTCAAGGTTCCAGGATTATTTATATTGGAAGTTAATTAATCGATTATAAAAGGAGCTCTCAATAAAAACGACAATCACCTACCATTATGTGGAAACCAGCCATCTTAAACTAGTCACGGCAATTTATGTAGATTTATTGGTAGTTTAAGACGATTCCCTCAGAGTCATTACTTGTATTAAAAGACTGCTTCGATTACCTTCTGAAGTAGTTGGCCATTGAACACCCACTATAGTCTCGCCTGCATTACTTCCAAAACCTCTGACAGATGTAATCTGTCAATCAACTCCCGGACCATCAACTTCCTTCCAGTCAAACAGATGTTTCTAAGGTCCTTGGTGCATGATCGAATTCCATTACAATTTTAAAAACAAAGTGATTTTTGTCACTTCGTTTTCAATCCTAGCTTAATAGCTGTGTCCGCAAAGCATGCCAAGGAAGCGCGCGGTCGCGCGGCGGTCACATGGTTATTTGTGGTGCGTTCATTGCGTCCATTCGAGTGAGGAACCATTTTAGGAGTGCTCTCTCTTGGAATAACATTCTATGATTACTGGGACCTCGAACCTTCGAACTTAACGCTTATGACGGATGTTTCACCCTCAGCGAGGACGTCCATCTGGAGTTGCCTTCAATTTGTTCGCCAAGTTTTCATTTCACGCCATATGCGGTTATGTAAACCGATGTTCGAAGCGGTTGTGCATGCGAGGAGAAAGGGTGAAGCACCGAGCACCAGCACCCCAAGGGTTAAACCAGAAAAATGAGTCTGAAGATTGGTCAGGTTGATGCACTGTGTGGCTCCAAGCCCATCACCGTCCAAAATCTACGCACTTATGGTTTAAAATGGCTTTAATTTCTATGTCCCCATTATGTGATGAACCCCTCTTTCGAATTCCGGTCAGATTTCGATGTCATTGAAAGCGTTTATGGCAGTTAAGGTGGTGGTAGACCTAATCGTCAGCGACTTCATCCTGTCGTGCAAATCTGGTACCGATTTACTGAACTGAGGTGAAGCGAATGGTTGACTCTGACCTAGATCCAGCCCTCCATACCATTAGACCCACGGACCATGACCGAGACCACTGGGACTACTTACCATTTTTCCATTTCGTCTTCTATCAGAAGCAATCCAATAGATAAACGGCCGTATTCAACAATCCTGTTCAACTGCCGAGAACTCAGTGGCATCGAGAACCAGAAGTCTGCTGTCGTAAGTCTGAGTAGTTGGTTCCGCACTTGTCCACTAGCCCAGCTTACCGGCATTTCCGGCCACTTTGAAAAAGTTTTTGGCAACCTAACCACTTCAAGCATACCGGCCGATATATTTCCCAGCTCCATCTCGCCCTGGCAAACAGACTAGCCGTTAGCTTCCGCTCATGAGCTTTTTATGACAATTTCGATCTTACGCTGTCAGGTTCCGTGCTATGACCCGATCCAGCTTGATCCGTTGGACGGCGAATCAGCAGTGAGAGGTCGGATACCTGGCAGGTTCACCTCTCGGGAGAGGTGAGATATGAAAGTGAACGACCTGTCCATCTTCAATGATGACCTTCTCGACGACGACGGCCATCGTTGAATGAGTGACGGGCACGCGGTCAACGCTCCTCAACCTACATCGACGATGCGTACCGTTGAGCTGTCTTATCGCCATTGTAAATCGTGGTCCAGTTAGTAGGTTGTTGCTGTCTGAAAGTGTTCGTCGCCAGAACACACGAAGGACCAGAGAAGCAGCCTCGCTCTGCGTCTCGTCGCTTTGTACACTCTGGCCATATGGCCTCGTCGCCACCACCACGTCTCCGCCCATCGGGACCGCCCACATCGCTGTGTGACCATTCGAAACCGCCGACGACGAAACTACGAAACGTCGTTGACCTTGATTCACACCGCATATTTTATACATCTGAACATGCTCATTAATACCGTATTTCCTGTCCGGGCAACTTATCACCCACGAACACTGAACTTGATCCGGAACCGCTACCTTAGCGTTTGAATTTTTTCTTGGAACAAATTGATGGTTCTGAACCCCTCTCAATTGCATTTGCTACCTGGTGATTATTCGGTACACGTCGTGTTGTAGGTCGGGTTTTTACGACGACTAATTGGGTCGTTGTACGTGATCACGACTTTCGCGCGCTTACTGTTTATTGTTTATCGATTTGATTGGGATCTATAGTAAACATCCATTAGGGCAGTGAAGCCTGCACTACTGCAGCACCAATCCAGAACTTTTCTGTTGTCTCAGTGATGGTGCAGTGTCTTGGAGTTTGAGGGCAGACTCTGTCTTCTTTCCTTGATTCTTCCTTAAGCCCTATTTGGTTGAACCGGCTGAACCCAAGGGGAAGCAACTGTTTCTTTTGAATTAATTGCATTTTTTCTAGCCTTTTCTTAATATCAAAATATCTTAAAAAGGCATAAGCTTTATCTCTGATTCATCGTGCTAGTGCAACTTTGTTACCCTTTTTGGAACTTTTCCAGAAAATTTATTCCTACAACTTCTTATTGTAAATTCGCACCATTCATTTAATTAAGTGAGAAAGAAGACTATTTATAGGCTTTGATCTGCTCCGAATTTTCGCTCCATTCGTTTTTTAGCTTGAATTTTTTTCTCTGTTGGTCCTTGTTTACTTGTTGTTATTGTTGTATATTGTTGAAGGTTTGGTTTAATAGTCAGCAATATTGATATAGCCCAAAATGAGCACTTAAGAGTAAACCTCTACTCTGCCAAGTATTGCTAATTATAGATCATTCTGATTTGGTTTTTATTTTAAAAAATATTTTCTTTTTTGACAACCCCCCCCCCCCCCCCCATAAACTCGGTAGCTAAAAGATCTATGAATTGCTTAGGAATTTTTTGCTAAAATTTTTCGTTCATTTGAGAGAGCACCCCTCAATGTGCTGAGGAATTTCTTCTACGTGTTGTATGTTGCCATTGATATCATCGGAATGCCGTAATATCATGCGCTTATCGTGTCGTCGGATCGGTTTCCAGTGTCATTCAATCGTAATCGATCAATCCACCCACATCATGGATCGATATCGATTCCTTTCAATTCTCTGAACCATTGATCATGGATGGTGTCGGTATCTTTCTTCAATGGAGGGTGAGAATTATGTGAGCGTGTGTGTGCCTGTTCGGTTGCCCGGCAGGAGAACCGTGGGCTGATTCATGCGATGTTAGGTCGGCGCTGATTACCCATTCGTTCAGTGCTGTCATTTCTCCCGACAGAAGCTCGGCAAAGGTTTCATTCAACTGTTCAAATAGACGTTGAACTTGATGTAGTTTATGTTTACCTTTTTAAATTATTGCTTACTGATTTATTTACTGACCAATTGGAACTTCAGAGTGGTGCTGTCAGCCAATCATGATTTTCACAAAACTGATGTTCAAATGTCGTTCTCTGTGACATTGAATAATCAACGCCTTATCGCAGTGACACCCTTCCGGCCGGGTAAACCTGCGCTCGATCGTCTTAATTGACAAGGCACCGATCAATCTTAACCCGTTGCTACTCTTCGCATACGTTTTTCTGCTTACCGGCTCTCTTTCACGCGAAATTCATCGGCAAACATTTGGGGTAAGGGGATGGTATTCGATTTCTTTCGAGAAAGTATAATTGATTGCTCGAAAACTTATTGGTAGCATAATTTTACCAGTATTCGTCTGTTGCCCAAATGAAGGAGTATAATGGCTGTTTGAAAACTTGTTTCGTATTGGAATAGATCTTTCATTGGTTGCTGGTCGGATTCCAGTCAACTGTTTTTCTACAAGTTTGTTTAGCTTCAATGTTATACGGCTGCTTGACGATACGAAATCCGCAGATCCGTTACGACATCCAAGGTTTGCCTTTGTTTGAATCAGT